GAGGCTCAGCCTCAAAACTCACGTCTACATGTCACCACAGTAGGACAAACCGACAGACAAGTTTGTCCTGCTGTTGGAGACCTCTCGTATCCAGGCTGACCCTTAATCTCCTCAATTCCCTTTGTCAACTTCTTCTCCACTACCTGGTCTTTAAATGTTGGAGTTTCTCAGGGCTCAGTCCAGGCCCTTTTCTCTGTTCATTCAGCCATTTACCCAAGACAATCTCATCCTCTCCAATGACTTCAAACACCTACTAATACTCTGACCATCTTTAAATCCTGTCCAGATCTCTCTCCTGAGCTTCAAAAGTACGTAGAACAGGGCCTAACACATACTAAGTACTTAATAAATGTTATTATTTTTCTGACTGCTTGGCTGTCTTGCAAGCATCTCAAACTTGGTATTTCAAACTAAACTTACAATTCTCCCTCCCAAACCCATTTCTCCTCTTCTCTTAGTAAGCATTACTATCATCCATGATGTTGCAACAAAACCCTTGAGACCTTTGATATCTGATCATCTCTTCTTTTCTCCCTCAATCACCAAGGCTTAACAATATTATCTGCTAAATATCCCTCAAAACTATCCATTCTCCCCTGACACGACACTAATTTAGATGCCTAGTTTAGATGGTGTGGACTACTTCAACAGTTTCCTAACTGGGCTCCCCACATCTACTCTTAATCTCCCTTCAAATTCATTCTCCATAACAAACACAGTGTGCTTTCAAAGATGTAAACCTAGTATTTTATTTGCTTAAATTCTGCACTGTGTCTAGAGATAACATCCAAAATCTCCCTTGGCCTCTGAGGTCCTGTAAGATCTGACCCTTCCCTATCTTTCCAATCCCCATACCACTTCTCCCTCACTGAACTGCACCTACACTGGCTGGAAGGTCCAGCTTCTTCCTTCCTCAGGTCCTATGCACATGCTATTCCCTTTGTTTTGTTTGCCTCCCCCTGTATCCCAATCATTCAAATCTTGGCTTAAAGAAGTCACATTTTCAGGAGGGCATTATTAAGCATCCTAGTTAGGTCAGGTCCCCACTCATACACTCCCATAGCACTTTTCAGATTTCCTTTAAAGACTGACCATAACTGTAACTGAATTCATTTGAGAGCTATCTCTTCTCCCCTCCTCCTCACCCGAGACTATAACCACATGAACTTCCTTTCTACATTTGGGGGATTCCCTACCTTATGAGTTCAGGAGTTAGGGAGTGTCAGAGCCCATCTCCCATTTTAGAAGCTCCAAAGGCTGGAAGCTGGTTCTCCCAGCTTCACTTGCAACCAGGGCATGAGTACACGGCAGAGACTTGGCCAATGAGGACACTCACTTGGGTCTCTGAATTAGAAGTTAATGCCAAAAGGACAGTAGGGATTCCACCCTGGTGGTGGTGGCCACATCTGAGTTTTAGGGACTGCAGGGGTATAATGCTAGTGGCAGGTGGGCTCTAGTGCAGTTTGTGTTGGTGCCGCATGATGCGATTGTCCAAGCCCAGCAGTGGCTCCCTGGGCTGGTTCTATCGTGTGATGCCGGCTGTTATTATGGTTCTCGCACCTCCCTTTATGCCTGCTTGTTTTGTCAGCTCTGTGCCTTCCTGGCCATTCTGTGAACTCTCCAACAGCCTTTCAGCATATTCTTTTTCTGCTTAAATCAGCCAGTTTCTGCTGCTTGTAACTAAGAACACTGATGAGTAAAGTAGCGACCATGTTTGTCTAGTACAACACTGTCAAAAGGTTTGCACGTAATTTGTTTACATATCTCTTCTATAGACTTGAAGGTCCTCAAAGCAGCAATTATACTCAATCATCTTTTTATCTCCAGGCAAGTATTAAAGGAATGAATGGAATATACAGAAGGGGAATGATTTACTGAGGAGGGTGACTGTTCACCCCATCGCTTGACCTAACTGAGCACTGTGGTTACTATGTGTAAGATATGGTCCCAGCTTCAGGACCTCCTGGATAAGGAGCAAAAGATAGCTACAAAGATTTTAACAAGTGATAGGTGAGAAGAAGGTGAGACAGAAGCTGCCAAGAGATAGAGTAAGACCAGAAATAAAAACTCTCAATAGACAACCAGTCCCAGTGTGGGTTGTAACCTGGGTGACAGGTGACAAGTCCTGTAACAAAGATATATACAGAAAGCAATGAATTCCCAGAGTTGGGTCAGCGATACCAATTGAATGGATTCTGTGAGGATGTGCATGAACTAGTGGACAAGAGACAGAAGGTCAAATGTGTGCATAATGTTAAAACATAAAGGCAGAATGTGTAAACGTTGTTGTTGTTTTATGCCGTCGAGTCAGACCTGACTTATAGTGACCCCTCCTTGGGTTTCCGAGGAGGGAGCGCTAGTAGCACAGTGCCGAAGGCAGTTGACTGCTAACCAGAAGGCTGGAGGTTCAAACCCACCAGCCACTCCTCAGAAGGAAGGTTGGGCAATCTACTTCTGTAGTGATACCGCCTCGGAAACCCAAGGAGGGGTCGCCATGAGTCGGGTCCAACTTGATAGCATATAATAACAACAACAACAACATCACTAAGGAAGTAGATTGCCCAACCTTCCTTCCGAGGAGTGACCCGAGGAGTGGCTGATGGGTTTGAACCGCCAACCCTCTGGTTAGCAGTCAAGTGCCTTAGGCACTAAACATTAGGAGGGGGAAAGCTCCTAGCAGCCTGAGAAAGCATACTTGCTGGGGTAGTAAAGTTGAATATAGTTCAGCATCCACTAGTGAAAGGAAGTGGAGGAGATGAATTTGCCCATGAGAACCTTGATGTACTCTCACCAAGAAGAACTGGAGAAAGATTAGATAGGAAACTTATGTGGCAGGAACAAAAAAGGAGGGTGAAAATGTTTCACAACTTGAAGAATATAATCAGTCACTGAATTGTACACGTAGAAATTATTGAATTGATGAATGTTCTGCTGTGTATATTCTCAACAACAACAACAAAATGAATTGGAAAAAGAATTGGAATCCTGGCCCAGTTCTGCCAGAGTCACCCTAGGAAAACAACGTCTCTGAAATCTGGCTCACTGGTCTGTAATCAGGGGCCATAGAGGCTCAATGTTTAAAGCGCACCGCTGCTAACCAAGAGGTTGGTGGTTGGAACCCACCAGCTGCTTTAGGGGAGAAAGATGAGGCAGTCTGTCCGTAAAGATTTACAGCCTTGGAAACTCTATGGGGCAGTTCTTTTTCATCCTACAGGGTCACTATGAGTCGGAATAGAATGGACAGCAATGGGTTGGGTCTTTAACAAGAGTCCTGGGGGCGCAGTGTTTAAGTGCTCTGCTAACTGATGGTAGCATAGTGCCTAAGGCACTTGACTGCTAACCAGAAGGCTGGCGGTTCAAACCCACCAGCCACTCCTCGGAAGGAAGATGGGGCAATCTACTTCCGTAGTGATACTGCCTCGGAAACCCAAAGAGGGGTCGCTATGAGTCGGGTCCGACTTGACGGCACATAACAACAACAACAGCTAACCGATGGTTTGAATGCAACCTGAGGCTCTGGACAGAAAGAGGTGACAATCTGCTTCAGTAAAGATTACACCCTGGGAAACTATTGGGCAGTTCTACCCTGTCCTATGGGGTCGCTATGAGTCGGAATCGACTTGACGGCTATAGGTTTGGGCGTCTTTCTTTTTTTGTCTGTAACTGGGCACAACTTGGGAAGGAAGTCTAAACTGTGGAGTGTCGAGGAGTACTGACCTGCAGGCAGGCCACACAGCAGAACTGGGCCGAGGGGTTTTGGAGGTGGATCCTCTTTGTCAGCAGGTTGCTGCCATAGGCGAAGTATAGAAAACTGTCTTTCTCAAGGTCTCCGCAGTCTCCGCAGCCCGAGTTCGCCATTTCTCACCAGACTTTGCCCAGCTCCAGGAGTCGAAAGCAGATGTGTGAGGAACAGACAGAGGGACTCGCCGACCCTGACACAGGGGATGCCACAGCTTAGCCAGCATGGGAGAAGCTGGAGGCAAGCACAGGGCAAGGCAGGGAATCAGAGATCACCTTATTGGCTGCCAGCCTCCGCCAACGTCTGCCGTACCCCTTGATTGGCCAAGTCCCATGGCCTCCTCTACCCCCTCCTGCTTACGGCTTCCTCTGATTGGAGAGTGGGTGGGCACTAGGCGGAGGCTGGGCTGGAGAGATCCAGCGCCGGTGAAGCTGTAAAGCTGGAAGGACACTGAGTGTCGGGGCGTGCAAGTCTGAACCTGGCTTGATCTCCTTTGCTTTAGGGACTTCTGGTCAGATCTGAGGCGAAACATTATCACTGGCCACTTCCCCGACGGTTTCATGACTCCACTGTTTGCCCCAATCCTTCCCTCCTCTGTTAAGGAGTCCATCTGGACTAGTCTGTTTAATCCACCGGCTGGTTCCCGCACTCCTAGCCCTATTCATGTAGTTGTTGTTATATGCCGTGGAGTCAGATCCGACTCATAGCGACCCCTCCTTGGGTTTCCGAGGCAGTATCACTACGGAAGTAGATTGCCCAATCTTCCTTCCAAGGAGTGGCTGGTGGGTTTGAACTGCCAGCCAAAGGCATAACAAATTAAAAAATAATAATAAAGAAAAACCACTTATCCTGCCTTTCTAGTACCAAAAAGAAAAAAAAAAAAAAAAAAAAGTCATTGCTGTCAAGTTGATTCTGACTCTGACTCCTAGTGGACCCTATAGGACAGAGTAGAACTGTCCCGCAGGGTTCCAAGGCTGTAATCTTTGAAAGTAGACTGCCACATCTTTCTCCTGTGGAGCAGCTAGCAGGGCTGCTGGTGGATTCAAACCACCAACCTTTTGTTTATCACTTAAGCACTTAACCACTCCACACCAGGGCTCCTAAAAATTACAGCCTAGCAAACCTTATAGGGCAGTTCTTTTCTGTCACTTGGGTTACTATGAGTTGAAATTGATTCAACAGCACCTAAGAACAACAAATGAAATAACCAGGAGTTTCTGGGTAGTTTGTTTGTTAATGAAATAAGTGATTAATGCCAGATCATTAAAGGATCATAAAACCACTGGGAAAAAAGGTGGTAGGGAACAGTATATTCACATTGTGCCAAATTAAACCCCACAGATTACTTGCTGGTCATCAGGAGAAAAACATAACTTGACAATGGAGAAACTGGCCCTTCCCCCCTTAACCCAGATCAATCTTACCATCACGAGAAGTGGACCAACCTGAAATGATGTGTCTCCTGATGTGATTTCATATGAATCACCAGCATCCTCTATGGAGTATTGTTTCCAAAACTCTTTAACCTCGTTATACTCAAGTCTTCAAATCTATCTTCTTATTTCAGGAATTACAAGGACAGAAGGATAAAATCACACTAGGAAGAAGCAATGAGAAAAATTCAGAAGATAGGATATCCTGCAGAACAAATGACCCAATCTTCTAAATAAATCATTGTCAGTAAAAAAAAAAAAAAAAAAGGCAGTTCTAAGGGAGGGCTGTTCTAGATTAAAAGACATAATATTCAAATGCAATGGTTTAAGAGACATAATAGTCAAATTTTGTTCTTGTTTGATTCTGGTTCAATAAACCAGATATAAAACATATTTTGTGGATAATTAAGAAATTTGAGTATGAATTAGGATATTAGATAATGCTAGATAATCATTGTTATTTGATTAGGTATGATAATGGTATTGTGTTTATGTAGAAAAACGTGTTATTTTTCTGACATGCATACTGACATATTTAAGGGTGAGGTGTTTGATGTTATTGTTGTTAGATGCCATCAAGTCAGCTCTGACTCATAGCAACCTTATGTACAACAGAATGAAACACTGCCTGGTCCTGCGCCAGCCTCTCAATCCTTGCTATACCTGAGCCCATCGATGCAGCCACTATGTCAATCTATCTCATTGACGGCCTTTCCCTTTTTCACTGACCCTCCACTTTACTAAGCATGTCCGGGGAATGGTCCCCTCTGACAACATGACTGGAGTGGGTGAGGCAAAGTCTGGTCATTCTCCCTTCCAAGGAGCATTCCAGCCGTACTTCTTCTAGGACAGATTTGTTAGTTCTATTGCAGGCCAGGATTCTTTGCCAACACCACAACTGAAAAGCATCAACTCTTCTTCAGTCTTCCTTATTCATTGTCCAGCTGTCACATGCATATGAGGAGACTGAAAATACCAAGACTTAGGTTATATTCACTTCAGTCTTCAAGGAAATGTTTGATATCTATATTTATTTTTAAATATTTCAGAAAAATGAAAATGGAAAATACTAACAAATATTAAACTGGGTGATGTATATATGGATGTTTATTTATTATCCTATTGTATTATAGGCGCTCTGGTAGCATAGTGCCTAAGGCACCTGACTGCTAACCAGAAGACTGGCGGTTCAAACCCACCAGCCAATCCTCGGAAGGAAGGTTGGGCAATCCTACTTCCGTAGTGATACTGCCTCGGAAACCCAAGGAGGGGTCGCTATGAGTCGGGGCCGACTCAATGGCATATAACAAATTGTATTATCCTATATATTCTTTTTTTATATGTTTGAATATTTTCATATTAAAAAGGAGATGATATATGTAAGGCATTTGGCATGTAGTAAGTACTCAATAAGCAATAACATTATCATTACATAATCTGTGAATAAGAAGGTCACACCTCTTCTCACTATTACGGTAGAACTTGAAATACATACTTGCTCATTTAATTGAGCAAATTGTAAGACTGTGCTCTGTTGCAGCATGGATTATCAAGGTCTCTGCTTCAGATCATTGCCATTTTAAATGCCCTGCTTTTTAAATTGTTTTAGACATCTTAAAGTGTATTAATTAATTAATTAGCTTAAAATGTTCATATACTTCTCACCAATTGCTTAATTTCATGCTGTTTGATTTTCCTCAACACCATTTGGCAAAAATTTTCTGAAGTTAAGCATTGATGCTTCCTCAAACACTATTAGTCTTTTCTTACTTCAATTAAGCATTAATTCAGCTTGTGTAGATTGTGGTATACTGATGTAGACTGTGGTATACTGATCCCTGTTGACCAGCAGGGAGAGGAGGTAGCAAGGGTAGCTATTTTGTTTTGTTTTGCAAATTTAACCAAAGCCAGATTGATATTAGTTCACATTCATTGCATGCTTACAAAATGCCAGACACTGCTCTAAATGTGTATACAATTTTGGTGATAGAAATAACATCAGAAGTTGCATGATAGAACTTTGCAAGACCAATAACTTATTCATTGGAAATTTCTTATTTCAACAATGTAAATGACAACTGTATAAGAAGACCTCCACGGATGGAATATAGAGGAATAAAATCCACTACATACATGGAAAGAGACGGTGGAGAAATTCAATGTCATCAGTCAGCGCAAGACCAGGACTGTGGAGCAGACCGCCAATTGCTGTTATGCAAGTGTACGGGACAAATGCAGTTCTTACCCACCTAACACGAGGAGAGCCAATGACTGGACAAGACGAGGTGAAAAGCAAGAGTGTTTATTATTGATCCCCAAGGAGACAAGAGGATTGTGTCCACCAAAGACTGTCTGCCTGAGCTGAGAAAAGTTTAGGGTTTTTAAAAGGAATTGGGTTGGAGAAGACGAAGATGGCGGACTAGGCAGAAGGATTGCACAGACCCTCTTCAACAAAGAAAAAGGAAACCAATTAACACAGACACAGAAGATAATCTTGGACCCCTGAGCCTTGAAGGAAAGGATGCAGA